CTATTAACATGAATGTAACTTTATGTAAACTTTTAGACTATCTTTTCTATCTTTTTACAGTTATTTGATATCCACTCACAATGTGTGCAGTACAGAATTTGCAAAGGATGTGAAGTTTTCTGTCAGTATTTCCCCTGATGAAAACAAACAAGCAAGCTTCTGTTTTCTTTGTTCTTTACACAAGCTCATTTCTGTGCTGAGTATCTCTTAGAAAACCTCAGAAAATTACTGGTATGACCAGAGACATTTGTGATGAGCTTGCATTGAAATACTCTGAAACTCTTTTTCCTTAAGTTCCTAGTCTGAAAAGACTCTGTGGTGACAGGTTGAAGTGGGTTGGACTGTAATGTTAGTGTCATGAAAAGCTGTAGGGCTTTAAATCCTCCGGTCTCCTGAGCTTTTTGTGTTCAGAAATACTTGGTGAGTTCCAAAGAATAAAATACTGCAAAGAAGTGTGTGTTCAGAGTGTTTGCTGGGTTCAGTGAATAGTTGTCAGAGATGGAGACTCTGAAAAGCAGAGCCAATTTATGTGGAAGGGGATTTTAAAAATACTGGCAGCTTTCTTCCTTAACTGAACGTTTTCTTACTCCAAACGTTCAGAGGCAAGCTCTGAAGCAGTTAACTTTAATCTTACATGGTTCCTTATACCTTCCTCCTCTTCTGAAAGTCACATCAAGACTGATCATTGAAAGATAGATGCCATATGTTTAAATTATTTGTTGCTGCGATGGAGAGTGATAGTTAAACACAGAACATGCACGTTTCTATCCCTTTCCATCCCTTGCCTAAAGTATTGACCCGTGCCTGTTCTAGAGAAAATCTAGTAAAATCTATTACTGAAAAAAGGCACGTTGTATAACAGAACGGAGTGCAGCTCTTACATTTCTCTTGCTTATCTTATTCTCAGGGAGCCATCAAAAGATCCTTTACTGTCCAGTGCTCAAGCACTTTTCATGCACACAAAAGGTGGCATACATCTATTCAGACAAGAGGCATATTTCTTTGAGAATTTGTTTGAATTTATCCCTCTAATGACAGAGGCACCATAAGGCAGAGAATTCATCTTTACTAAGGTCTTCTAATGTAGGTCTTTGTCAACTTACTGGCTAGTTGTTAGTGACAGACTGATGAACTTTATACACAGAGATGAAAATCAATCTGAATTCCATTTTCTCTTTGTGTGTGTGTGTTCTTTCTATCACATGGACAAAAATGAAAATAAATACATTCCTAAAAAAGGTTTGCATAGTTGTCTGAATGAAAAAATTAGCTGCAGTAGTTGAAGGTAATCAGAATCGTATGAGAAATAAAATTTATGGTAGAAATTGTTAGCCAATTTCCTAAGTGTCTAAATACAACTATTTTAAGATAATGAATATGACATCTTTCTTTTACCTGGTAGCATCTCGAGCCCAAGACTTTGACTATCATTTTGAACGGCAATCTTTTCTGTGTGTCTTTCCTTCTGAATCGCAACAAAAGAAAGCTTTTCTTCTTTCCATTCCTTTTCTTTCTTTCAGGCGTCAGGTAGAGGAGCCATTCGTAGATAGGCACAATATCTCATAGCCAAACATTCTTTTGTGTTTCTGTTCTGTAATACTGTATCACACTGACATGAACATGAAGGACAAGTGCTGTGCCTTTTAGCTGAGTGTCTCTTCAAAGTGCTATTTAGTAGTCTGGGAACTTACTTCCCACCAGTATATGCTGGCAAGGGATACAGTGGAACGAAGCATTGACCCTTGAAGTTTATCAAGATAGGCCTTTGTAGAAAGGCAGTCATGCTTTGTTCTAGGACTGCACTATCTTTTTTAAACAAGTTGGTGTGAGACAAGCATCCTACCGATATAGGAGATTGTTGTGTTTTGAAATATATTCATTCACAAAAAATGTTAGTTTGAAAGCAACTTACATGCTTTTCCTCCTATTAGTAGTGAAGTCCTATAATATGTCTCCAAAAACTGTAATTTGGAATTTTGAGGATTTCATTCTCCATGGAAGTTCTCATAGCTCAAAAGCAAACCTAATCAATCTCAAGCATCAATTTCATCATATTTGTTTAAATAGTTAGTAATCATAGTAGTGATTAACGAGGAGGCATTTCTAATTTCACTTGCAGGATTCAGAGTCTCTTTGAAACTGTAGACATCAAGAAAAATGTAGGACAGAGAAAATGAAAAGCAGTGTAGAAAGAACATTATGTTTTATATGCAAGATTTTATGAAGTCTTTCCTTTCACAACATAATTGAAATATTACTTAAAGGACCCATAAAAGATAATATATTAAAACAAATTGAGTTGCATATATGATTAATTCTCACAGTGAGAAGCTGATTGTGAGATGTGCAGTTTTATACATATGACCTTGAAATGAATAAAACAACTTTTAATTTTGTCATTTCCCATATAAATGTGGAATGCAATTAGCAATAATCTTGGCAGAGAAGCAACAGTCTAACATAAAAATCTGCTAACAAAATAAATTTATGACATTACTGCACTAAAGATGATAAAAAGGATTTTCCAATGCAGGAAGATTAGTGAAATATTCAGCAAAGTTAATTTAACCTGCATATCACAAAACTGTCCAAAGATCTAGAATAGGCTTTTTTTTTTTTTTTTTTTTCTTTTTATATCTGAAATTCACATGAAATTTCATACTGTTCTTCAACTCAGTGAGTACATGTTATCATACCTCCATGTCACTTTTGGCTGTTTCTTACTGATACTAGAAGTACATCTGGCATGCAGCTACTTCCATTTCAGGTAGAATTTGGGGTACAGTTTCAGGTTGCATTGAATCCCATGCAGGCCCTCACTACACATCGTCTGTTTGCCGTGTATAAACATAACATTGATCCTGGGGTCCGGTTGGTGATCTGGTGGAACCCTAACCTTTGGTGCTTAGGTGCTGTGAACTCCAGAAAAACTGCAGAAAACTTCCGTTCTTCTTCGGGCAACCTTAGTCTTCCAGATGTGGATTTTATCTGTTTCTTTTCTCTGCTGAAAAAACCTTGTTCACTCTCATCTGATGCTCTTTTTAAGTTGTGTACCTAGGAGGGGTTTCTCACCAACACAGTCTCCCTCTGGGAAGCTGCACCTCATCCATATGTATTTCACCATGCAGGAAATGGTTTATTACTGAAATTCATGCACTGGGGTGTTATGTGTAGTTTTAAAGGCTGTAGTAATCTATGCTTTGTGATTTCTGAGCGATACACTTCGGGCTTTGGAAAGTAATTCAATAAAAGGGTATTGCTGTATTGATTTCAACTAGACTAGTTTTCTCCAAATTGAGAAAATTTGGCTTGAAAATTCAGCTTTCTATGAAAGGTAAACTTAAAATTAAGTCTTGAAAAAATCTCTGATCAAGTTTGGCAATTGAATGATGAACTGTGAACAGATAATAGGAAGTGATTCAAGAAGCTGCATATGTAACTGTGAAACTTTAATCCAGTTTTAGAGTTCATCAGCATCCATATCATCACTTTGGTTTTGTTAGTAAAGATTACACTTTTTCAGGGAACATATTTCTAACTTACCTGATAAATTTAATTGTCTCATTCAAAATTCTAACAGGTTAACTCCAATCACTTTATTCCTTGTTTTTTTTCCTCTTTTTTTCCTAGTCATGTTGTTGTTCATGTTTTACATTACATGTTGTCGTAACATTTCTCATCAAAGTGTCTCAGAAGGTTAAGGGGAAAAAATTGGACTAATAATATGGAAATAAGGAGTGACTTTATCCAAAACAACTTGTACCAAGAGAAGGCAACTGTGATTCTTGTCTGTAATGTGGGCGTCAACCTTAGTTCAAAAACACCCATGTTCTCCAGATGTCTATGTAAGCAGTCTGTCAGCCATCACCAGTGGAAGAGTGCTTGTGTACACAGCTGACCTCACCTAAACTGCTTGCCATGTTCATTATCTACTTTTAGCCTTCAATTTTTAAGTTCTTTCTTTGTGGCTAGCCAAGCCTCACATTGTCTTTCTATCTTCATCTCATCAACTTGGATCTCTTTTCCTTTCTGGATTGAAACTCCATAGCTCTTCTCTATGGCAACAATATGAATTTCCCTGTCTGCTTCTTGTTAGTTATGTCACATTTCTGCAGTGGAGCTGCATAGCTGCACAAGGATAAGGGCAAAATTTACTGATGGAAATCACTGTGGGAAGCATGTATTGCGGACAAGAATCACAGGAACCAGGGACAGCTTTCCTACCATAGTGATTACAGCTGTAGAGGGCATGGATCAGGGCTAGGTGAGGCATCCTATTCTGGCCTTGTACTGCACAGAAGAGTTTAAGCAACTACTGGAGATTTTGCATTCTCTTTCAGCTGCTTCTCAAGATCATACATTTGCAGCCCAAATCCCAGGCGCAGGGCATAATGCTGGTGTGAAACTAGACTCCAGCTGTTTTTTCTGCTCCTGGAAAGACAGCAGGTTTGTAGGGTTAGCCCAAGACATGACTATGACATGCCTTTACAGCAGCTTTGATTACACCTGGCTCGCAGCCAGTTGTAGGCATGCCTGTGAACAGCAGTACACAGCAGAGCACAGTCTCATCTTCATGGGAAATGTGGCAGGTCTTGTGGCTGCCTAGGGTACTCACTGATTGGAGATGTGTATGCTAGCAACATGCAGATAGTATGAGAGAATGCAGTACAGCAATTTGTGCATAACCTAGGAACTGCTTCAAAATCAAGAATTTATGTCCAAGTCTTCCTTCTGTTGGTGGGATCATGTATCATCTTTGTATGCCTTTGTTACATGTGTTTCCAGTAGCTAGGAAGCCTGCCATGAACAGGTTAACAGTGATAATGATGTTAAAATATGTTCAAAGGAATATTGCAATGTGGGTATAAATTACTGTGGGGCTTTAAATAGTGCAGGACATTGTGGATAGTTGTGCCTTTAGCACCTGAGGATAAGCAAAGCCGATGCCTGTAAATCCCAGCGGTCTGTGCTTACTTGAAAAAATGTTTGTCTGACTCTAGGCATGGAACCCGTTGTGCTGGAGAAGTGGCAGCCACTGCAAACAACTCACACTGCACAGTGGGAATCGCCTTTAATGCCAAGATTGGAGGTATGTGAAACAGTCTCCCACCACAAAAAAAGAAACCAAAGAGACATTTGTGCTTAATGCTACATTCTCATCTTTCTCAACAAGAGGAAGAGGTTTATACAGGTAATTGCTGTGTTAACTCAGTAGTAGAGTGATGGTTGAAGACCAGTACTGAAGGAGTTTGTCCTTCAGTGACACTTCTCCAGTGCTCCTGGGAACACTGCCTGTCAGTAAACACAGTAACATAGAAAGTGAGACGTTCAGTGAAAACAAAGAACCCAGAACTACACCATCTGCATTTTCTTAGAGATCCAGAGCTGTAAGTAATGAGGTTGGAGAAATCAGAAGTAAATGTAAACATAAGGAATATTGCCTTGCGTATCGATCTCAAGAAAAACACTGTGAAAACTTTGTTGTGTTGTTTGGCCAAGATTGAAGAGTATCTTTTAATCCCTGGATGTGATTGGACTATTGCCTAAAGTATGAGATTCAGTAATGTGTCCATGCTCTGTTCAGCCAAGAGGCTCCAGGTGATTTCTATCAGTTCTTAGCCAATAGCAGCTCAAGACTTTTGGCAGTTGGTCTTGGAAATGACTGTAAAGATGTCAACTACATTTCTTCTAAGCTGTAGCCTGCCTGTGCCATATTTTAATGCTTCAACTGAAGTTTTACCTTGTTCCATTTTTGATGGAATTATAGGATTGGTATGTTGGCATTCAGTAAAATATCTGTAGCTCAAATTCATTAGCTGTCAGTTTTCTGTTCTAAAATGAAACCTATTTATGAAAACAGAAATATATTCACACATATATATCACAGAAGATGGTTCAAAAATATGAGCAGGCAGGACTGGGGCTGTTTCCACAATTAACACTACTGTATTTTTTCCCTACTGGATCAGTACAAGTTTGATCCAAATCAAATGTGAACACAACTATGTTTCAAATTAGCCAAAGCAGAGAGATAGTTCTGTTTTCCTACTAGCTTCAAGACGGTATCTGTTCCATCATAAGGCTAGAGTGATGCAGATAAACAATTTTACTTCAGGCAAAGAGCCTGCCTGCACAAAATTCCTGTGTCAGAAGGCTTTAAAATATTTGAGCTGGCCAAATGAGCTTGTGGCAGATGAACAGATTGTCTCATGTGGGCACGGCATTTGATCATGTACCAGCAGCTATGAACAAATTTACTGCTTCAAACTAGCATCTGAAAAGAGTTATTGCAATGATATAAATAAAAGGTGACTTCTGGAATTAAATTTTCATTTCCCGGTTGGATATTGATATGACGTGTAAAAGCCTAGGCATGTGCTTGTGAAGCTCTTCATTATTAACAATAGCTTCCTAATAGGCTATTATTTATTTGGCACCAGGAATCTGCAGTAACAATATTTTTGAAGAAAAAAAAACAAAACACAACAGAACAACAGGCATACTAGCAGAATCACTGTTTTTTTCTAAATATAATGTGAAAACTGATTCAGATGGACATGGTATGGACACAATTTACGTTAAAAGCAAAGGCAGCATATGTGTGCCTTTTGCATAATGTGTTTATTTATTTTGTTCTAAGAATATAACAGCTTTCAAGAATTTTCACTGTTCTAGTTTAAGTAAATAATTATCCTCTCTATTCAGCACAATAACTCTGGTGGACCATCAGCATCACCATTATTTAAAGAGAGCTGGAAAATACTAGAGTGGCAGCATGTACCACCTCTTAACATTATTGGTATTTGAAAATAGGACCTCAACAGACAATCCACAGAGAGTGAGAGACCAAAGAGAGCTCAGAGATATTGGAAAAGGGGGTTGTTATTTTCCCTTCTACTAGGTGCTCATATGTAGGAATTTTGCTGCTGACCTGTATTTGGCATGGCTCCCTCCCTTCACTCAGAAAAGCCATAACCTACGCATGTGAGTATGCAGTGGTTGTGTTCCCTCTCCACAGGCCAGATACAGTGTAAAAACGTTGAATCATATTATACTGAACTAGTATTCAGCCCACTTATTTCCCACAGATTTAAAGACCCTCCTTTTGCTATTTTGGAGAAAAAGTAGAGTGAAGGTAAAGCACTTACACTTTCCTTATTAAGAGGAACACCTGCCAACAGTGGTGTTGAATTTTCTCTGCCATGAGATTTCTCATGGCATGAGATGAGTATTCTTTACTTTAAATCAAAGTGGGAGTTGCTATATCTCTGTACACATTAGGGATAGCAAGGAAATAAGGCAAAAGGAAAAATAAATCCTTCCCACCAACATTACATCAAATACCGTCAGCTGAGCAGACAGAGAGCTGTTGGAGAAGGTCCAGGGGAGAGCCGCAGAGATGATCAGGGGGCTGGAGCACCTCTCCTACGATGACAGACTGAGGGAGCTGGGCTTGTTCAGCCTGGAGAAAAGAAGGCTTCAGGGTGACCTCACTGCAGCCTTTCAGTACCTAAAGGGAGCCTACATAAAAGAGGGGAATCAACTCTTTGAAAGGGTGGATAACTGCAGGACAAGGGGAAATGGCTTTGAGGGAGGGGAGATTTAGGTTGGATGTCAGGTTTCTTTATTGTGAGAGTGGTGAGGTGCTGGAACAAACTGCCCAGAGAGATTGTGGATGCCCCATCCCTGGAGGTTTTCAAGGCCAGGTTAGATGGGGCCCTGGGCAGCCTGGTCTAGTATTAAATGTGGAGGTTGGTGGCCCTGCATGTGGCAGTGGGTTGGAGATTCGTGATCCTTAAGGTCCCTTCCTACTTGGGCCATTCTGTGATTCTTTGAGCAAGTCCAACTAGTGATCGTTGTGATGGAAGATTGTTAACAAGTAGGTCCACCACTTTTCTTCTAGATATGTTCATATTCTGTGATCATTTTCACATATATAAAAGCCTCTAACCACAAGTTCTTCAAAAAGTCCAAGCCTTCTGCAATACTTTGAATCAAGACTTAATCTGCAGATATAGAAATCAGTAAAAATGCAATCTGGACCTTCATTTATTTTATAGCTTGTGGGATATTTCTTGTAAAAAAATTAAGCAATATGCCTGTAGTTTGTGCTTAGCTCAGATACAGGCCCCTTTTATTAAAACACAATGCCTTGCAAAAAAGGGGTAGTTTCTTCAATGTGTGACCCTCCGTGGAAGTCATATATAGCAAATTACCACCTAAGGAGTTTGTGAGACTTTGCATAGGAAAGGATGGTTAGGCTGTTGTTATTGCTGCAGACTGGTTGTGGAAGTTGCAAAGCCTCTGCAGGGATTTGGGTGCTTAGTTACTTGGCTGGGCTGGAGTCCTGACAGGAAAACAGTTACACTGAGTTATGGCACAACAGATGTAGATTGTCTTCAGCTGACGAGGAATTAGTTCAGCTGTTTCTTTAAGCTTAAGTCAGATGCTGATTAAAGACAAACATTTTAAAAGAAAACCTTCTTTCAGCTTAGTTTTGCATGTTTCCTGTGATTTGCTGAAAGTTTGTTCTGACTAAAATGCCACTTACATTTTGGCACTTACTGTAGATACTGGAAAAAGTTTACAGAGCTCCCAAGTCTTAGGTGGAACAGTCTGGAAACACAGTCTGCTAATTGCCTTCTGGACAGCTTTTGTTGTGCTATCACCACATGCCAAATGGAGTTTGGAGGTTCTGTGATCAGCAAAATTAACTCTTCCAGACATTTGGAAAAAAAATAAATAAATAAATAAAAGAAGGGGAGACAGAGAGGGAAAGAAAGGAGTGTGTTGTTTTGTGCTTTGTAAAAAGCCACTCAGATATCCTTGATCAAAGTTACACTTGAAGCATGTCTGCCAGTCCTGGGCAGAACAGACCTGCACCTAAGGCACAGCCTTGTCCATCTTGTTTTAGATTTGACCATTTCACCATCAACTGAAAAACCTGGTGTGAATTACTTAGATGCCATGGCAGCGTCTGGTATTATTGTTCACTGGGTAAACGCTGTATGACTTAGGTTTGCTACACAGTCACAGAAACATAAAGGGAAGCTTTATCTTCTTTCTTTTAAATGCATTGTTCCTTTCATTGTCTCTTTATTTTGAATATGCTTGCAAGAAATGAGAACGTAGCTTCCAACCATCATTATTTTTCTAAGATTATGCTTAGGAATTAAAATAAAACCTGAGATTCCCAAAGTTGTTTTAATGGCTTTTTCATACAGTAAAGTTCATAGTGAGATCACTGTTTGGATAAGTTTATTATCTCACAAAACATAGGCAGCTTTTGTGTGAACTTAGAAATATGATCACTTTTCATTTTTGAGTCAATTAGAATGAAGAAAAAAAAGACCCTCTATCAACAAAGCAGCCTCTATACTTTTTTGTTAATTGAAAGTCAGGGTCTTTGTAAACACTCAAGTTACTGCAGTCTGAACTCATGAGCAAAGTGCAATGTGTCTGTAATTAAAATATGTAAATTTGGCTTATAAATAGCAGTGGACTTTTAAAGGGAAATAAGCCTCAAACCGTTTAATTTTGGAAGTGATCATTACTCTCTACAGTTACATACTAATTATGATGCAATATTTAATATCCCTTTGATCAAACATTACACTAACTGTATGAAGGTCCTCTTTCCTGTGTAGATACTGGTGGTTTTCTCAGACAGAATTTAACTTCGATCAAAATCTTAGTCAAAAGAAAAACCTGAAGGATCTTTTCAGCTTCCAAATTTAAACTTACCTTACTTAGTCTAGTGATCTTAAAGTACCATGATGCCATTCACTTCAGAAGTGTGTAGTAAATAGTATTTGCTAGTGGCTTCCTATAGTTGCCATGCTGCTACATGAATATCTGTACATACAAGCTTTCCCTTTGCCTTATTCCTGGCCATCTGATACAGTGAAGGAATATTCCCATGTTTACCTGACAGTGGATATCCTGTTTCTGTATTTGTCAACATTCTTAGGACTGTGAATGTCTTCAATTAAGTTCTGCAGTTTCACTGCAGGATGAAAGAAGAGTGAGAAGCGTATACTGTCTTCAAAAGAAATAAACAAACATTTCAATAACAATATTCAAGTTATTTTTTAATTTGTTTCAGAATAGAAACTTGTTAAAGTTCAAAGGTTATACAGTGGCTAAATGACTTGAAAACGGTTCTCAAAACTCAAAGACCATAATACTACTCCCTCACAGTATTTTCATATGGAAGATTTTGTTGTTGGAGAAACACATATCCAAAGAGATTCTGTTTTCTACCTTAGAAATCTTAATCCAGTGCCCCACACAGTCATTATCTGTGAAAAAAGAAAAAAAAAAAAGAATCTTTTTGTGTTTGGTTGTCATGTTGATTGTATTTTTCATCCCGAAGGTGTCAGGATGCTGGATGGAGATGTCACAGACATGGTAGAAGCAAAGTCTCTGAGCCTTAATCCCCAGCACATCCACATCTACAGTGCTAGCTGGGGGCCTGATGACGACGGCAAAACTGTAGACGGACCTGCTTCACTAGCACGTCAGGCCTTTGAGAATGGAATTCGAATGGTAGGTTGATATCAAAGTCTATCTCCTGGATTTGTTATTATGTGAAAGTGGAAGGTTAGTATGTCAGTATGTGCGAGTGGTCAGCATAGGGGAAAAGAAAGGAGGATTCTAAAGGAAAGAAGAAAAGCTTATTTTACATAAATCTAAAAATACAGTTTCGTTGTGTCGTGACCTGACAGTCACTACTTCCTGACGTATCAACTAGCTGTATTCGTTGTCAACTGAAATACATCATCTTCTGTGTCCTTTAAAACTACCCTGAGGTAATGATGTAATTCTGCAAGAAAAAAAAGAGAAACTGAAAAAAACTATTTTTCAACAGCATTGCTAAGTCATCAAGTCTAAACTACAATTAACTTTTAAAGCAAAAGCTTTTGTTTTTCCTTCTACCTTTCTTTTGTTGTTTTGTTTTCCATGATTTCTTAATTGAAGTTTGATTGCTTTAACAGGGGGTCAGGAGTCAGACCTCGTGTCTTGTGTCAGAGAACTCACGCTCATTTTTATAACTTATGTATACATTTCTCTACTAGTTTGTAATAATACAGTGATACAGCTCTCGGTTTTCAAAATCCCAAACACCTCAATATCCCTATCCCTAAATATATACACCTTTTTAAAATTTCAGACCTTTTCAAATTTCTGTAATAAGCAAGTACAGATAATTCCTATCTATATAGGACTGGATGGAAATTATTCTAAAGCTTTGAACTTGAATGTCTGAGCATTATTTTGAGTGCAGCAGTAGATTAGCTGATTCAAAGATGAGTAAATCTAGGATCTGGGAAACATCTGTTTAAAAAGCATGAAACTGTTGGCTCAGGGGAGAACTGGAACATGGTTAATGGAACATGCTAACTCTTTGCAGCAAGATTGGAAACTTTCACTGTTATTTAAATTTCCAAGACTTTTCAACATATAGACCTAGGTCCCTGCCCTCTCCTGCTCCAAGTGTGAATAATACATGGTCAGCTACCTAGCAGATAAGCTATGAAGAGCAATTACTGAAAAACTAAACTAATGACAGAGACAGAGTACTTCCTGTGGTACATAATATTAAAAATATCTCTCATAAAGCTCAATACCATGAATATTAACCATGCAACAACATACTACCTCCTTCCTTTCTCTGGATTATATGGTGATCAGTGTGGAGCTACAGAGTCATGCTTGTACTGGTACTGTATGTTGCTTATACTTATACTGTATAAAGCTTAGTAAAGCAAAATACTCATGCAAGTAATTGACTTTGTAAGAAATTTTAGGGAGTTAGCAGTTAAATACATTTAAGGACACTGGCAAAATCTGTCTCCAGAGAGCTCTGCTGTATTTCATATCATTATCAGAACAGTTATTGAAATGCTTTTAGAGCAATATAACAAGAATGTGAGAAGTCCGAATACCTCTCCATTACTACTTCCCACACATCATCAATCCTCCTCTCAGCTGGACTGTCAGTTCTCCCTATCACTCCATTGCAGTTTATTACTGTTTGACAATGACCACTGAGAAGAAAAACAATGAAGTAATGAAGGGAGACTAAAGAAACTGTGGCAGTATGCAAGGGGAAATTGAAGAAATATATTGTTGAATTGCTCAAGCACAATAAGTAAAATAAGTTTTATGTCTAAACAGGCACGTGTTAGTTTAAATATATTTCATGAAGGTAACACAACCATGGGAAGTTTAACCAAAATTTCTGTACCCAGAGGACTTTTTATGGTTTTGCTTCTATTTCATTTTAACTTCTTTTTCTGCCCAGAATTGCTCATTCATAGCTGAACAGAAGTATAGACTTGTTGAATAGTTTGGGTTGGAAGAGATCTTGAAGTCCATCTAGTTCCAACTCCCACTGCTAATGGACAAGAACACCTTCCATCAGACCAGGTTGTTCAAAACCCCATCCAGCCTGGCCTTGAACGCATCCAGGGATGGGGCATCTGCAGATTCTCTAGGCAAACTGTTCCAGTGCCTCATCATCCTTTAAGTGAAGAATTTCCTCCAACATAATCTGATATAAACCTACTGTTTTTTAGTTTAAAACTGTCATTGCTACTTTCTCTGAGAAAGAGTCCCTCTCCAGCTTTCCTGTAGGCCTCTGGATACTGGAAGGCTGCAATAGCGTCTCCCCAGAGCCATTTCTTCTTCTAGTTGAATAACTTGTCAACCCGTTTTCACAGGAGAGATGCTCCAGCCCTCTGCTCATACACATGTGCTTTTTCTGGAAGAGCTCTAACAGGTCCATGTTTTGTGCTGGATGTAGTACTCCAAGTGAGGCCTCGAAAAGGCAGAGCACGGGGTTGTTATCACTTCCCTTGCCCTACTGGCCACCCCTCTTTTGAGGCAGTCCAGGACATGATTGGCTTTCTGAGTTCTAAGTGTATACTGCTGGCTTCTTTTCAGTGTTTCATCCACCAATACTCCCAAGTTCTGCTCCTGGAGGCTGCTGTCTCCCCACTGAGCGCTCCGTCTGTATTTGTGTCTGTGGTCTATCTGACCCAGGTGCAGCACTTTGCACTTGGCCTTGCTGAACTTCATGAAGTTCATAGGGTCCCATCTTTCAGTCCTGTTTGCTCAGGATGGCGTTCCTTTCCTCCCATGTGTCAACTCACCACTCAACTTGTCATCCAGAAAAGACTTAAGTATTTCCAAGAATATGGAAATTTTTTATAGTTCTGTTTGTGAAATCCTTTTCATCTCTTCAATTGAAATAAATATTATCTTTAAAACTTAAACAAAACTCAGATTTTTTTGAAAATCATAGTGATAGGAAAATAAAATGCTTAAGATTAGTCTTCAATTTTCATTCTTTAAAATGTAATACAGACTGAAAGGTTGCAAATTTCAATTCCTTAATAGGCTTATCAAAAATAACATCAGGATGAGCCTGTTCCTATTCTCTTCCACAAGCATGCTTTTCAGTTTCTATATTTCTTTACACAGTTCTAAGATGTGTCATTTTAAACAACGACGCAAATGGGCAGATAGGACAAATTATCCCTTTGCCTGAATATTCCTAAAATCAGATCATTATCCAAGGTAATGACTAGATACTCTGCCAAACACACATTTCCCTAAACAGTCACAATAAGTGTGCAAATAGAAAGAAGCAGACAAAAATGCATATTACACTGTGTACTGTTTTTTGACCTTTCTCCTTTGGATGTATTGAATGAGGTAACACTATTACATGCAGTGTCTCTGCTGTAAAGTAACACTGTTACAGAAGAAATTGTCAGGATCTTTTCTCAGACTGGATATTATTGTAAAAATAAAAAAGAGAACAGGATTTTTAAAAAGAATTTTAATTTATTTAATTACGAAAATTAAAGATGATGCTGGATAATAACTTTGATCAGAATACAATTAAACTGAATGATTTTTTAATTGTATGAAGCAATTAAAACAAGAATGGATGAAACTGCCACGGCTTCTTACTATTTGCTGACAGATTGGGATCCTTAAAAAAAATGTATAATTTGTCTTTAGCACATGTTATTCCAATTAATAGCTCATGTAAGGTGTTTTAGAACTACTATTATTTTTAAATCTGCTGAGCTAGTATGCTTACTTCTTCCAAATACTTCACAAAATAACAAAGATAAATGACTGTACAGTTTTTCTGTAAAGTTCCACAGGGACAGCACATGCCATAAATTAAAATATACAAATCTATTTAAAGAAAGGATGCTGAGCAGTAACTGAGTTTATGAAATGAAAATTTAAACCACAAATAGAATATACTTTCAAAATTCTTTCTAGAATCCAGGTAAAAGAAGAGGAAGCCAATTTTTAAACCTGTCTTGAGTACCATTATTTTCTGTCATCTTTAGAGTATTTTGTTTTATTATATCTAATTTACATACACTGGTTCAAAGACACACCTTGGAGACTTTGCTATCAAGCAATTTTTATGCAAATATGAAAGCTTCCTTTGTATTATGCTTCCAGTTGACAAGGTTCTTCTCTTGGAAATGGTGTACTCATAAGGGTAGAAATTTCTGGATGCTATGCATTAGAAGTTGTAGATGTAATAATTTCAAAAACAATTTTATGATAAACATGCAGAGCAGCAGAATGAAGAGCAATATGTCCAAAATAACATATGCAAGAAAAAATTAGGTAGACAGTGTCAGATCTTACCCTGTGTTAAGAACAAACAGGCACAGCATGGCAAAACATGATTGTGGCCAAATCGTGTAACAAGATTTTGTTGGTTCTGGGACAAAAGGGAGAATACGAAAGTTCTCTCTTGATTCAAAAAGATGAAAGCAAAATAATTGTGACTTTTAAGACATCTGCCTGAAAATTACAGTCTATAAGCACAGTGCTGTAAGCACTGTAGGGACATGTTCTGATGCATGACTCTGGAATACCGAATTAGAACTAGTTCATTTGTGTTCATATAAAAAAGCCTTCTCATTTAAATCAGTCTCAACATCATTGAGAGAATAATACATTTCAGCTATTCTGGCTGGTTCTCTCACTGCTGTTTGATGAAGACTTCATAGTCAAGTTTCCGGAAAATGCAATCCTTATGTTTATAAAGAACTGTTCTCCCAACAGCTCACCAAATGCATGTTTAGTGTTATTCTTTGTGCAGTACTCACAAGGTAGTCCAAATCAGTGGCAGAGCATCCTTAATACAACCTACGAGGGCAGACAGGCAGTGAAATCTACATGGGAAATTTTGGCTTTCTGCCTGCGTCAGCATAGGGGCCTTCATCTTATTGCCATGACACTATTCTGTTTAGCAAGCTGGACACAAGCCAAAATGTTTGATGGACATTAATGATCAGATGCTGTGTGGCTGAACCTCTTGTCTGAACTCGGCTTGGTGCCTTCCCTCCCATCATCAGTGCCCCTTCTTATCTCTCTCGCTTCACCAACTTCAGCTGCAGATTGTATTCAAAGTGTTTTCAGGGAGCAGAAGGCTCTTTTACAATTGGTAAGCAAGCCTCCTACCCTGATGCAAGGGAGAACAAGTGAAGAAAATGGAACAG